TTTAGTCCAAAATATGGCTATTGACATAATTTCTCTTAAATATAAGAGAAACAATGAAAGATAATGATATTTTTTTCTGAAAATTTTCCTAAAAGATACTACAACGGTTTTCAGCATCATACACAAAAATAAAAAGCAAGAGAGAGTAAAATGGACCCAAAACTACTACCGAACTTTGAGAGACAACAAGAGACGACAACGTTGAAAAATACGTAACTAGCTAGAATGTGAACTCTCAATCAAGAAAATAAATAACAGTAAGGTGCGAAGAGGTAAGGCTAGAAGCATAAAAAGTGATGTTTTCGTATCAATCTCAATCTCTCTCCATACCTCTAACGCCATTAAAACTTTAATAAACCTAACTTTTTTGCCTATAAATAGACATTATACCTCCCACTTCTTCAATTTATATTACAAAGAAAAACAGCAAACAATCTTATCTTCCTCACAAGAAACAACACTCATTAGAAAGACACAAAAATTGTTTCGATCATTGAAAGGCTAAATCGATCATCGAAAGGCTAAATCTGAAAATGGCCCGTTGTTGCGGACTTCTTGCTGTTTTCTTATGCGTTCTTTTGATGCTCTCGTGGTGTGAAGCTTTCAGTAGCAACGTTGATGATGGATATGGTCATGAAGATGGAAGCTTTGAATCCGATAGCTTATTAAAGCTCAAAAACGACGACGATGTTCTCACCTTGAGAAGCTCGGATGAAACAACTTCGGAATCATCAACTGTTAGTGTTGCGGACTTCGGAGCCAAAGGAGATGGAAAAACCGATGATACTCAGGTATACTATTTTACATGTTCTTTATAAAGAAAATGTTTATATTAATGTTGGATACAAAATTTATTTTGTCAAAAATTAGTTATGGTTTCCGGTGTGAAAAGATGTAAATGAAAAATTCAACAGATAAATATGTATAAGATATATTTTATTTCGTATTTGATGATGCATGCATGCATGGGTGTGTATATATATATATGTTTAATTAGGCCTTCAAGAAAGCATGGAAGAAAGCATGTTCAACAAATGGAGTTACTAATTTCTTGATTCCGAAAGGAAAGACTTATCTCCTTAAGTCTACTCGATTTAGAGGCCCATGCAAATCTATACGTAACTTTCAGGTAATATTTTTTCTTTTGTAACTTTAATTAATCATTAATGTCCGCTTAGTTAGTAAGTTTAATTAGTTGATTTTTATTTACCGATTAACTGCAGATCCTAGGCACTTTATCAGCATCTACAAAACGATCCAATTACAAAGACAAAAACCATTGGCTTGTCATTGAGGACGTTAACAATCTATTAGTCGATGGTGGCTCGACCGGAATTATTGATGGTAACGGAAAAATATGGTGGCAAAACTCATGCAAAATCGACCGATCTAAGGTACGTATAGTTACTACTTGTCACACACATATCCATATATACTTATTGAAAATACTCTTAATTAATTATATATCACCATCATGTTAATATTAATTGGTTTCCTATTTTTTTTTATACAGCCATGCACAAAAGCCCCAACGGTGCGTAGATACAAAGCTCCAATAAAGGGGTGGGCATAAT